TAACTATTTGAGATAATTGCTGCAATGATTCTCGATACGTCACCCCAAAATTACCCAATGCATTTACCACGGTTCTTTTCATGCAATGCTGCACGAAAATGGATGCTTTATTTTACTTTTTCTAGCTAGTATGAAAGGTCTTTCATGTTACGAAGTGTCATTTGAAATTTAATAAGTACAATTTGACCATAAGCACATAAAACAGCACTTCTTCGTGTAATCTTTAGCGACAATCTTTCCACAACGTTATCAATATTGGATGGCATCTGACAGAAGCTTTTGGTATGATTTGAACCGATTGGTAATGATTTCATGCAAAGAGTGTTTAACCGCTTCATGATATCCGCTACGAACCGGGGAAACATCCCTTTGCAAAAAAATCTTAGTTGATTGCAATTGAAAATTATTTCCTCTACCCCTGGTGGACATAACCTAGGATTTTACTTTTTTTTCGTTATGAGACTTCTTTTTTAGTTTAAAGGCTGGCAAGAGAACCGTTGAATCATCGAATGATGCATTGTGAAGCATCACCATGCCATGGCCGATACGGGTTTGCTTGGCCTGCATTTGACGAAGAGAGATCCGGGAAATCCAGGTTAATTCTCTTTTGTGAAATAATTGAAACTACAAAACTTATATTATGGAAACATTTCGCGCTAAAAGTACATTTTTTTTTCCTTTCAGCCTCTCCAAGAATCAAGTTGATAAACCTATATGTGGACCTTAAATAAAAATTATTTACATTGAGGAAGAAAGAAAAAATTCAGAGTAAAATTATTCTAGGCTTGATTAAAAATAAGGCACTGCAATGCATTACTTTGTCTTTCCTATAGCTCTGTAGATAATCAATCCCTTCAAAATTGTCTATCAGAGCTAACGAACTAAGAAGAGGCTAATAAAAAGCTAACAAGCAAAAAATAATTCTACCTCTAAGAGGATGAAAAGATTTTGCTCAAATGGCGAGCTGTCCACTGGCACGAAATCATCATATTCTTATAATTTTTACCTGGTTTTAAAGATGCTCAACTTTAGACACTGAAATGTGAAATGGAGTTAAGGAATTTTTAAGCGTACAAATAACACCAGTATGTGTCATAAAACAGTCACTCATAATTTTGCAGAAACTTTTAATCAACATTGCATGACATCTCCCCGGGAATTAAAAATTCTTTCGTCAGCTCGTTGCTGAAAACGTCTGTGTGTGGGGTTTATTTAATTGTTCAGTGTCCAAAGTCAATGAACTTGAGAATTTTCTTTCTTTATAAATCATACCCTTCATTGTTTGCATTGAATTATACTTCCTGTTTTAAATACATTTTGTTATTTCCCGTAGGGGCTAGCACCGAAATCTTTCATAGGAAGCTAACAAACGTTGGGCTCTCTATTCCATGACATCCATTCTGCCGTGTCTTGCAGCAGAGTGCAGGAAGCTGAAAAAATACCTTTGTGAGCTCATTGCTGAAAACGTCTGTGTGTGGGGTTTATTTAATTGTTCAGTGTCCAAAGTCAAAGAACTTGAGAATTTTCTTTTTTTATAAATCATATCCTCCATTGTTTGCATTGAATTATACTTCCCTTTTTGAGAACATTCGGTTATTTCCTGTAGGGGCCGGCACCGAAATCTTGGGCATACGTATGTGTCAAGAATTCAGCGATTGTAAATTATAAGCTTGAGACAGCAGAAGGATGGAGATCCTTTTCAAAGGTAACCCCAGAGGAGATTAACTGCGGGAAACCAGATTGATATTTGTAATTGTAGTATTCCGGTTGAACCGAGATGGAGCCGAAGTATTTGCTTCTTGCAGTTTTGGTATTCTAAGTTGTTTATGCAAGAATTTTAAGCATTATAATGAGCATTTTTAAAAAAAGGAAAGAGGGAAATAATTGAAGAAACAGTAAGTTGTTGGTACTCTAAGTAAGTTTGGCATCGTAGGTCGTTTAAGCATTGTTCATAATCGGAGAGCAATTCCTCGTGGGTGACGAAAAGTTTTGCTTCGCATCACACCCGTGACAAAACTTACAACATACTTCGTTGTTTTAAAACATACGTGAGCGTAGATAACTTGCGTATTATTGTTGGGATAGGAAATTTAGTCATGTCAAAATGTAATTATCATGATTGTATGCCAATAAAAGGTTTGAAAACAATGTTAGTATTGTAAGGAATGTGCGGTATTCCGCTGGATAAGAAGAGGACGTGGTCAAAGATGCATTGTGAATCAAGGCAGCCCTGAAAATCTTGGCCCACAAAGTCGATGTCACCTTTTGGAGTAAAAATTGGAAAGAATTCTAGTGATTTTCTGTCTCTCCTCAGACCCTCTGTATGAGTCTCGGTTATATTGATAGGGGAAAAATTGTAATGAATGTTTCAGATTTTCTCCATTTGTTTTGTGGTTCTACAGTGAGGTTCACTGAAACAACACCTGAAATCATTTTCTCACTTTTATTCGGTTTTCATGAGAAGCTGATGAGCGTTGGGCTCTCTGTTTCATGACATCCATTCTGTCCTGTCTTGTATCGGAGAGCAGGAAGTTTGTGAAATAGGGTAGAAGCGAGTTACGGGACGCGGAGGACGGGAGAGGAATAGATAGGAACTGGGAGAGAAACGCTGCAAAATTGGTTGGGGGAAGTGGGAGACTTTTTCCCCCCCCCGCCTCTCCACCTCATTAATTATTGAGGTCTTAGACATCTTAAATATTTTGTCATCATGCACTTGAGGTTATGTTTCTGAGCATAGACCAGAAATCATCTAAGGAAATGTAGCAGTTATGTGTTTGCGATAGGAGCGAATCCTCATTTCACCCTCATCCTCAAAATTTTGATCCCTTTATAACACTAGAAAGGATCGCTTAAATTACTGAGTGTGGAGAATAAAATCCAAACACTACTCAAAGCGAGTGAGTCGAAACTCGCGACATTAATCTTACATGGAGACAGTGACTTGTGATTCAGACAGCATATTAGAGCATCTTTTAACCGTAGAGAATGTCTGATTTGGGGTAACGGTGCTGGCATGGTAAACAAATCATGTAAACTGTTAACACGTTCGTGAAAATACTTTATTAAGGCTTTCTTGAGCTTCGTGATTCAATTTTTTACCTTAATTCTAATAAAGTTGTAAGTATTCTGAAGGCTTTAACTTAAGTTGAAAGAGACTCGCTTTGCTCAAGGATTCGACTTTTCTTGCGGGCGAAGAGTCTTCGTGCCGCAGCGTAAAAGAGATATCTCTCTATGGTGAATGTCAATTGACACACAGATAATTCCATAAAGAGTGGAACAATTTTCAGAAATTCAAGTATTAAATATACGAGGAAAAAAATGTGCGACTTACATAAGGTTCCAAATGGACCATTTTTACAAGTGCGTTCAATTGAAGACGCATTTGCTCGTATCTGATATAGGAGTTGGTTGTCTTTACCTCTTGTTTTCCTCCTGTAAACCTGAAAATCCACTTTTTCTTCCTTAGATTGTCGAGAGATTTCTCAGTTGCGAGTTCCTTCTCCAAATTTTTGAAAATTGAGTGCAGCTTTCTCTTTTCCGATTAAATCCATTATCCTTGGGAGCTTGTGCGAACACGCGCGCGAGGACCACGCTTAAGAAGTTGACTCTTGCTTTCATGCAGCTCAAGTTCGCTTCTTACTTGAGCAACAAAGAGAACTTCGATGCTCCTTATCTATGTCTTTTCGCGCGTTGTATAAGTTTTAACTAACTCAAAGCGAGCCAAACAACTTTTTCTTACACAAACCGTGTCCTGATTCATACGTCAACGGTTGAGAGTGTAACGTCATCCACGTAGGTGTAATTTTCTAATTTAATCGGACTTTTTGTTTCTTCTTTCCCCGCACTGAGTTCAAAATCATTTTATTTGTCATCCAATTGATCTCTTTTTGCGGTTATCGAAAATAGAAGTAGTTCAGTCTAAAATGACGTAAATTTTTATACGTTTGATACGACATATGGATGAGTGGGAGTCAAAAAGAAAGGCTTCGAGAATACCCTCCTCCCGCCAAGGGAGACCGGGGGTGTCAGTGTCAATAAACGCACTCTACCAACCGTATCACATCCGTTCGTCTCCATTTCCGAAAGTTTTTAACTCTTTTCTTAATTACGCTCATGATCGATACTTTCAAACCCAAGGAATGACAGAAATAAGCATTTTTTAGCGTTGTCGGGTCGATGCTCCACCGATTTCAAATCACAGATGGTAGAACAACGTTCTTATGTTATTTGTTCCTTTATCCCTATTCAAATCACAAAAAATCCATTGGATATCAGACTGATCTATTTTGGTCCAAATATGAAAGGAATTAAGTTTAAAATGACGTTGTTCCAGTTCTAAGTTTGTAACAACCGCATTTGTGTGGGAGTCGGTGAGTTAAAAAGATTGCTTCTAGAATAGCATTGTTGACAAGAAAAGTCCTTAGACCGTGTCAAATTGGTTTGTAATCACCGGTTTTTCTAAACCAAAACAATGGCAAAAGTAAGCAGTTTTAACGTGTTTAAAACTGTTCATCGCTGAAAATCCTCCACATATGCCTATATTATTAAGTAAGGTTCCGTTTTCACTTTCCATTTTTCTCTTTCAAGGCACAAAGCACCTTCATTAAGCATTCAAATTGGCCTATTGATCTAAACACAAATTAATTAAATTGACGATAAGACATTACTTTTGTTCCAAATCGAAACAATAGAATTACCATAACTTGAGAACTTGAATGTTTCTGGTTATGGGGGCTACACGCTCTCTGTAAGCATTAATAGACTAACCCCTCTCTTTTAATGATATAAACAATCCTTTCTCAGTGATCTATTACAAAATATTATGATACTGATTTTTCAAGTTCCACAGACAGCTGATTGAATATATTAATTTGACCCCTCGCTAGGCCGTGGAATGCGTCACTCGGTCTGTAAGAAGTCTGGGCAACCCACATAGTCACGTGATCCGAAAAGGGGTTTTCTGGGTGTAGGTTTATTGATGAAGCTCACTTCTCCCTTGCGCTAATCTCGAGAGGTTCACAGTTTTAGTGTGATAGTCGGATCGAGGGAATTTCGAGGTACGTACATACTGCACAACTAATGCAGTACCTTTTCTTATTTCTCTTTTCAGAACTTATGCCTTGAAGATTAGTACTGATTTAATTTTGGTGAGCTGAACCCGCAGGAAAAAGGGGAATTTTGGAGTTGCAGGAAAAGCCTAAACCATCCCCATCCCTGACACGTCATAAATTTTACTCAGTGATTGAAAAACCATCTGTTAGTTAATCCTGGGTGTTTAAATGACTAATTTTGATTTTCTCTTTGTCAAAAGAGAAATAAAGACCGAAGAAAAAACTCACTGTGGAGTGAGCCACGATTTTCTTGGTTTTTCGAGATTTTCGCCGCCTTGAAAGAGGTACGTAAGAAGTTTATCTTTGATTGTCGCCATTCCTCCTGTTATGCAACCTGTTTGAAGTTTTCCTCATTCGATTTCAAAGCATTGCGCCAGCATCCAAATTACACTCTGGACAATCTCTCATTTAGAAAAAATTCTTTTTAATTTTTCCATTGAAAGACGAGGGGAGACTATGGTTAAACAGACAGTGGCTAGATCGCTGATCGTTTGGGCGTTGTTGCTGTTATTGCATAACGCAAGCTCGATTCAAGAAGGTAGGCTTCTTTTCACAGTTTAGAGCAATTTTAAAGTAATTATGGATGACATTGGTTTTGCTTCTTTTGCTTTGTGATTTACCAAGATTTATTTCATACTTAAAACAGTCGCCATCTGGTCACTCTCGTTTTCCTGCTTCAGTTAGTTTGCCTATCTTTACTTTGAGCTCTCTGTTGATCCCCTGAGGTAGTTCCTTTCTTGTGATTTGTGGCTGCAACTTTTTGGTTTTGGTGTTATGAGATTTGATCGAAATACGCCCTATTTATCGTGTTTTTAAGATGTAAATGTGATATTTGAATTTTCTCTTGGCTTTAAGTACTTTTGAATCTCAGCTCGCGACTGATATTGCTAACATTTTCAGGTGAGGCAAAGGATATCAGCCATCAACTCACCCGCCCTGAACGAGTAGACGGTAGACGGGAGAAACAAGACCTCTCAACTTCGGAAAAGGTTGTTTTCGTTCAATTTCACGTTATTTTTTTTGGTTCTTTACTCGTACTTTGGATGCTCTTTTGACTGTGATGCAAGTGATCCATTCAGCGCACTATTTAACAAAAAATATTATGCATTGACGTCTCTTTATAGAGACATTTTGATGAATAATAATTTCGTGTTACGTTGTTGTAGGGAGGTCACGTGGATGATGCCTCTTATCGATTGACTGCTTTTGACAAGGACTGGACCCTAGATGTTAAACGAAACAAGTATGTTTGCTGGCCAACTTCTGTTACAATTTTTTTACTGAATCAGACTCTTGAAATAAGTGAGAAGGAGACGAATAGTAATTAATTTTGTTATTCTATTTTCATGCTACCAACAAGATCTATAGTTACAAGATCGTTGAAATCTACTTGCTTATTTATGTATTTGTTCGCTGGTTGTTATTTTCTTTTGTCCTTCACTTCATTCTTTATGTCATAGTTTGGCTCGCTCATTTTTCATTTTACATAATATTGTATCTTTTTATTTCTTTGTTTTCTCTTTTCATTCACCTACAGTCCCATTATGTTCTTATGTGTGGATCTGATTCATGTATATTAATATATCAACATGTATCATTATTTTGCTTCTCCTTTAGAGAACTAATTCCTTCATCATTCGCCGTTCGCACGTTCGAAAATGATGGGTCAGAGGTCATACAAGAGGTAGATATAAGTTATAGAACATATTAGAAAACACAAGGTTGATCATGCAGTCGTGAACGTTTGCTTTCCATGTGAAAATCGTGTCAGAGGCTTTTTATAGACGAAAGTTTTTTCTACAAATATAAATACAAAATGCATTCCTCATAATAACACCAAGTAGCTGGGTTCTGCATCTCTGTCTCCTTTGCTGGTTGAACATCTGAAAATATCGATGCTTACCATCGCTCTAATTTATAAGGTAGCTAACAGCAATTTATGGTATGCTAAATATCGATAACATCAAACTCTATCTACATTAGCAAATGTGTTAAACTTAAAATAGTGATCCGTCAATTTAAAGGTGAGTATTTAGTTTTATATAAAAGACATTAGCAAGCTTGAAAAAAATACGAATTTCTGATAACGGGGTGGGGTGGGAGAGGAGTGAAGGCCATCCAACATTATGTTCATTGTATGCATTTCTCTCTCAGGATGATTACGATCATTGTCACTATCAAGGCATCATACGTGGAATGAAAGATTCTCGCGTTGTCCTAAATACCTGTAAGGGGTTGAGGTAAGGTTTCATTGCTAATGTGTAACTGTATAATGCATTTCAAACATGACATCTCAACTAGATAAATTAGGTGCTATTACTAGTCCATGGGGTTTATGAGAAGCGTGGAGAATATTCATGACTTCTTATCTTGATTTGTTCCGTTTATTGCATACACCAGGGAGCTTTTCAGTTTTCTGTACCAATCTCAAATCGTTGAAAGGGAAACCCAATGAAATGCTGAATTGCTTCCGTATTGATTGAAAATTTCTTGATATGGAAATAAGAATTATTGTTTTTTTTAGAGGCTTAATTGATGATGGCCATGAAACGTTTTATGTTATGCCTGAGATTGGACATGAGGCAAGTTTAACTGAAATACAAATCGTAACATCAGTAGAATTTAGATGAACTGTACAAGAATTCTCATCCCTTCACCTTCCTATACACAACATTGTTAAAATTCTCATTGTTTGTATTGTTTTTGGCTAATGCTGATTGCTATTTTCACGCTAAATCTCTGTGCTAGATTTCTTTTTACCTCGTTTTATTTAAAATCGTTATTGTATCAAATTTCAGGAAAATGGAACTCACAGAGTCAGTAAAGCCGAAGAAGACGAGTCCCAAGATATCTCCCATAAGTGTGGTAAATCAAAAGTTTAAACTCTTTTGCGAAGACATAACATTCAATCGGTGCGCCTTTTTTTGCTTCAAAACTTCTTTAAAAAGGTTTCATTTGTTGTTGTTTGCTATTTGAGGAATTTACTGCCTCAGAGAAATTCCCCAAAGATACTGTACTTATTTGTGATGTCATGTTTATAGCGGTTGGTACGTTTGATACTCACCATTTTCTCCCTTTCTTCAGGAAACAAGGACATCCAAGCAGACCCCCATTCCTTAAACGAAACTTTTAGGCCAATTGCGAGGGTAGGTGGTCACTATTTAGACAAAGAAATATATAAACAAATAAATGATTAAATGGCTAGATAGGTAAAACGAAAGTTTGTATAATATCTTAGGTGAGAAAATAAAGTAAGCTTCTTGTCAGCGAAATTCAGAATATACCAAAGATTGTCAAAATCAATGACAAATGTTGAAAAGTTAAATTTTCAGTTCGGAATCGGAAAGGGAAAGCTTAAGTTTAGCAGATAGTTATGATCAAGGCACTATGAACAGCGACATGGCAAAAGACGTGAGGCGATTTAGACAAAAAAAACGAAAGAATTGAGGAAACAGAAGGAAGAAAGCTATTAAAATGCCACGAAAAATAGAATTTGCATGTATTTGTTCCTAGTTTGCAAAATTTCAGAGAAAAAAACACGTAGATTAGCGGATAATCAAGCAATACTTTCTCAATCTTACACTCTCTGACCTTAATGACCAACACTACTCTGATTAGCTAAAAATAAACTTTTTTATAGTAAGTAAATATAATTTTATATCTTTAGAACTGAAATTGATAATAAACTAAAAACTGTTCTTTGAGTAAGAGCAAAAAGTAAAAACAATTTTTTATCACTACTCTAAACAACCGTGTTGATGATCTTGGTTTAGATCCAGGAGAGACGTAAGATATCAGGTCATATTGATGAGTTCTACAAGAAATATCTGACGACTGATGAGACGCGATACACCGAAATTTTCATTTGTGTTGACAATGAAATGGTAAGTACTGTTTATCACAACAGATAAATGCTTTGCTTCTTAGGCTGATTATCAGATCAACTGCTCTTACCCTCACGTTTACCTTCAATTTTACCTAGATTTAGTTATGAAGCCAAAATTCCCTCACTCACACATTCAATACAGTCTAAACTTAGACGATAAATTTATAGATTAAAACTTGGATCAACCACGTTATCCCTGCCTACCCTACTAGGTTTCTGTCTCTCCTTGAGGGCGCATTATTTTCTTCTGTTGCTATATCTAGGGAATAAGGCAAAGGAGGAAATTTTGTTCTTCAGGTACACCTCAAAATCTTCCAATGACCAGGTTGACGTTATTTGTTTCTTTGGGTTTTTTTTAACATCCAAGGAATAATAGAGTTCGCGATAACTAAAACTTGAATTTCCCCACAATGATCATGTTATCTGCTTTCAACAGTACCAGAAATTTAACAGGGATAAAAATGTCATCAAAGATCGAGTCATAACATTAGTAAACACTGTTGATGCGGTAAGTTATCTTTAGAGCTTTACTCTAGCTTTTCTTCTTTTAAACCACTTCTTTATTCATCTTTTATCCGAAGGAAAAGAAAAAAAGGTGCTTAGCTTAGTCGGTCTAAATCTGCGAAAAATAAGTAAGTCATTGGGCAATTTTGTTTAGAAGTACTTGAACTTTACAGAAAATACGTATTTCGAAGGAAAACATCAGATTTTGGCTGGAAATGTCTACGACGATACGAAAACGATGTACGTAAAGAATAACCGTTGGCCTTGAATACAAAGTTTCAATTTTTTAAAAGTGTTTCACTGAACTTAAAAAGAATCACAATGTTTTCAATGATGAGAATTAAAACAGCTATTTGATTTCTATTTCCCAAGATCGCTTTAGTAATTCTCCTTACTGTGTGCTATGCAATTCTTATGATGTTAGTTCGGAGACTTTGGTAATGAATCAACGTATAATGCTCTGATGGATATTTCTCTTTTTTCTCATCACTTGTTTGCTTGATGTTTGATTGATATTGTATTGATGGTGTAAGGAGAAATTTTGCCTTGGTCACTCTTAAAAGACATGGTGCATCAGAATGTAATGGTGACTCTGAATGCCCTGTGTCAGAATTTTCAAAATTTTCCAGGATGGGGGATCATGATTTTTAACTCTTTCAACCAGTTGAAATGGACTGTGCAATTTGTGAAGTTTAACTGCATTTAAAGCAGTTTGACCATTTAAACTTCTTCAACCATTTACGATAGATTGTGAAATTTGTGAAGTTAAACTGTCCTCGCTTGCGGGTGACCAAGGTTCAGGATGAAGTCGTACCAAAGTCGTACTTTTATTTCTAGCTAGTTTTCTTATCCGTTATATCTCGGGGGAGGGGGGGTACCTCCTGAACCCCTCCCCAGTTCCACCCTTTCCTTGTATTGACTCTTTCAATCGCAGAAATGACTGAAAAAGGAAATGTTCCCCACATTATCAATGTATTTTTCAAGCAAGAAAGGACAATTTCCACTATTAATTGATCTGACTTGATTTTTCTGTCGATAAGCACATAGTCATTACGCAATTCTCCTTATAGCTTAATAAAGGATGAATTAATTATCTACCAACTAAATATCTTTTGATTTTTTGTCTCTTGTAAAGATCTATCAGCGAATCAACATCAGGATAGTTCTGAGGTACTTGGAAATCTGGACAAACGGAGATCCTTTCGGGCGAGTGCGAAATTCAGCGACCGAATTAAAAAATTTCATGGCCTATCGAAATAAACATTTGGTGAAAAGGTTCCCTCATGACAACGCTCTTTTACTAAGGTAAATTTTTTCAAACAGTAGACAACAAAACTTCGTTTTTTGTCGTTGGCTGGTCTCGTGAATTTTGTTTTATACCTCAGTCGTTGAGGAAAATAAGTTTTCCAGGTTTATCTCGCTTCATTTTTTTTCCAGTCACAAAAGTTGGCCCCCGAATATTGTTGGTCTAGCATGGGTCAATACGATGTGTGGCGGATATTCAAACTCTATAAACGCCGTAAGTTATGCGAAGAAATATGAATTGCATTGTTTTTGCCTTACTATGTCCTGAGATCCTTTAGAATACATTCGCCAATCTCAACCAATCAGAGGCAAAAGAAGCACCAGTCAAGACTTGATCGCCGACGTTTTCCCGCGCTCTAGACAAATTATTTGTTTTGACTTTGCTTTCCCATTGGTTCATGTGATCTTTCCCATTTTTATGATTGGCTGTCGTTATTACCATATGTTTGGATTTACGGCACTCAATCGAAATACTCCCTAAAGTAGCGCGGGCTTTGGCTTTTTATCAGCCGAAATGACGGTGGTTGGGGCATGCTCAAACCTAGTATAAAGAGATTTCTTACCCCCATAGAATCTAAAGGTCAAATATAGTTAATGGTAAATATACCTCACAGGAGTTATAACATCCAAAACTAAACCAGGGAGGAAAAACGGTCGTTGCATCATTTTTTTTTTCGTAGTGGTATTATGAAAGTAGTGTTGGTCCTCATGCAACTGTTGCTCATGAATTGGGTCACAACTTTGGGTTCAATCACGACTCAGGTAAGAATAGTGAGACTTTTCAACACAAATTCATGTTTTCTCGATTATTTTGGCAAATTAAAGCTTTTTCTAATCGCAAATAATTGTAGAAATGATCTTGGCTCAGAGTTACGTTAGAAAATAACTATGACAACATGAAAATGCACACGATACCTACAGGGTCTAATGTCTGAAAGAGGAGGCAGAAATATAACTTTTAAATTTTGACTTAAATCTGTTTGTGTTTTACACAAATCTAATCAAACCGTTAAGATATAGATTCACGCAATGTCCAAAAAGAAATTTTGACTCAGTAGTGTTTTTTTAGCTATTTTACAGTTCTTAGCTTCTAATTTTGTTAAATCGTTCATCTTACCAGTTATTGTTTTATTTTTTCTCATTTACACAACCTTTCGTTTAAATACAGGGACCTGCAAGTGCTTATCTTCACGAGGCTGTTTCATGGGAGGTAGCACGTAAGTTATTCCCAAAAACATCTGGCAATGAGATACACTTACATTACTCGGTGTGACCGATTGGTTAGGGTGCTAGACTTGAAATCTGGTGATCCCAGGTTCAAGTTGTCCACCCCACCATTTACTGGATTTGTTCTCGGTCGCCACGAGGTCAACTCCTCAGCTGCGCTGTGTACATAGCCAATTGGTCTGCCTCCTGCCAGTTAAGATTTTCAAGCACTTCATGTTTATTTCAGTCACTGTAAAGTACTGTCATTGGATGACGATAGAATTAGTGCTCTACATAAAGTGTGTTATTATTATTACTCAGTTTCACCTTAATAATACCGTCAATTTTTACTGTATTGTCAAAGTATTCGATGAAAATGAAGGTAAACCACTCTTCCTTACACGGAGTTCTAGTGTTGAGTTATTCAACAAAACATCATTAGGAAACTCAGTCAGTAAAATACTATTGAATACAAATAAAATCATATCAAAAAACTAGACTAAAGCAGAGGAAGAATTAATATGTAAGACGAAATGCATCGCAGTTGCATTTTTTTCTGGAGTAGGTGATGTGTACATATCTGCTCTATTTCCATTAATGAAATCTGAAGAGAATTTTTCCAATATTGATTTCAGGTCTAGACTTCCAGGATTTTCGGATTGCAGCCTTAAATCGCTTCAAAAGGTCAATGACGCATGCTTGTACAACGTACCAACTTACAAGGTAACCATAACAAACCAGAGAAAGGGGAGGGGGGATATTTTGGATGATAATTTATACTAAAATTATCGGCCTTTTAAGGAGTTCCTTGTTTAAAAGGGTTACCTTTCAAGAACTTTGTAAAACGGTCCTGGAACTTAACAAAGTAAACCGGAAACTTCCTGGAATAGTGATGTAAACTTTATTAAGGAACAGCCTTAAAAATTTCGACAAAATGAAAATATCTCCTATGTAACGGAGTCCTTTCATTCAACGAACTCATTTTCCAATCAAAATTTGGATAGCGTTTGGATGATGCCTTTGGACTTAAATGTAGAAAATTTGGATGCAATTGTCACAAACATAGGTATGGCAAATAAATATCTCATTTTTGATCATCACTTTAGTTTCGATTTCGGTTAAAATATGCACTTCAGTAGCAAGAAGAGCACCTTCAGAATGTTGGTTCGTTTTATTTTCCTTTAGGCCTACAACAGTTATTGTGGAAATGGCATACGTGAGAAAGGAGAGGAGTGCGACTGCGGTACCCCTGAGGTTCGTTAGGTTACATGAATGGCAAATAATAAAACTAAATAAATTTCTCATAAATATTTTAATAGATTTCAAGCGGAAAGGTGATGAGAAGAGAGAAAAACATCAACCAGGGGAAATTACCTGATTTAATACCAAATTCCCCGGAATAATGAAAACGGTGATGATCTGAAAATATTCCTTTTTTGAGAGTTCAGGTTTTAAAATTTTGTTATAAAAGGATTTGAGATAAATTACTTTCTATTTGTTCAAATTGCTTTAGCGCGGGATTTATTGTGATGTCTTTGTAAAGACTTATGTCGCTGTAAGGAGATGTTAACCTTTTAACTCCCATGGGCAACCAGCAAAGAATTTCTCCTTACAAAATCAAGCAGACAAGTGATGAGAGTAAAGGAAAATGTTAACTAAGGGATTTTTAGTTAATCCAATATCAAATTCTCTAAACTAACTCACAAGAACTATATGGCAGACAGTAAGGAGAATTACTAATGAGATCTTGCGAGTTAAAGGGTTAAGTTGTTTAACATTTACAATAGCTGACTTCTTTCATGACGTGACAACGTTCATTCTTCGGACATGATCAGGAATGATGAAAATGGTTTTTAATCTCCTCAGATGTGCCAGGCCAAAGATCCTTGCTGTGAACCTCACAACTGTGTCCTTAAAAAGGAATCACAGTGCAGTGACTTACATCATACATGCTGCAAGAACTGTCTGGTAACAAAATAATCAACAATCCCTTGAAAATTACGGGCTCATGAAACTGAGAAGTGTTGAGTTAGAGACTGGATAAAGTTTAAGAAAAGATTATAGAAATTCAACTGACAACAGCTGCTGTGAGAAAGTGCACTTTTAAGCAGGATATTAGTCTGGATTTTATATTCATCTTTTTCTGGTATTCCCTCAATTGCAGCTCACCTACGGGGGGCTTTCTTTACTTGATTATCATCCATAAGTCAAAATATTTTGTACTTCTTTTGATTATGAATGAAAAATATGATCACGCTGGTGCACCTATACGGTTACGCAGCAAACGTACTTTCTATTTTTAGGGTATATTTGCAGAAGAAAACAAAAAAAAGACATCATAGGAAGAAATAACGTTATTTCAGTTATCTACAAGATCAATTTTCTCGCGAGAAATGCGTGGTATAGGATCCAAAATAATTATAACAGATACATCAAAGTGTTTCATCCTTGAAACTTATGGTTCTTGGTGCTTTACGCGATCTAATGGCGTATTCTGATTCTTGTTTAGTTTAAGAAACGAGGAACATTATGTCGTGGAGTCCAAACTGATTGTGATGTTCCAGAATATTGCACTGGTTCTTCAAGAGATGTAAGCAAATAGAGAATTTGACTCAGAAATTATTGTGTAATTAAAACCACCGATTAGTAGCAATCAAGTGTGTGGTTGTAAAAATATGTTATTGCACTTTGTTATGTACAAAATAAAACGAACACACGGCGCCAGAAATTGTCAAAATGTTAGCTGCAAAATTTATGTGCATAACTTTATCAATTCACTGCCAAAGTTACCACTAGCCGTGTGTATGAATTTTTTAAATCACAATACTTGTACACCAGTGTAGGGGTCAGTGTCTTAGTGAATAACTCATGTCTAACATAGTTTGGGTTTTAATATTGATAAAAGAATTTTTACTTTAGATTATTTTGAGAGCAAACCCCAATGTCTTCATTGCTAAGCTTAAGAAGCTTGACAGTTGATCACTCTTACTCTTTCAGTGTCCTGAGGATACTTATATCATTAATGGATATCCATGCAGCCAGGCGAAAACCGTACGTTTCTCATGATCAGAAAGATAGCATGTTGCATTGTTCAAAACGTTTTTCACTTTTACGGAAGTGCCACTAAGTTCTTTCTTTAAATATTACGAATTTACCACTAATGCGCCTAACTAGGCGACCAGCACTCATTTCAAAAGAAGAATACTACCATCTACTTGTCATATACCTTTCATTTTGTTTTAATCTCGTCGGTCTTCGATGTGATTCCTTTCTTCTGTGATTTTTCTTCTCCTTTGCTTATTTCCACGAGAATGGTTTGGACAAAAACTGAATAATTCAAAACAGATTTGCTTTTTCTTCTCTTTGTTGTTTTTCTTTTAAATCCGTTTACATCTAACTCGCTTAACTAAAAGCCTGTGAGCAACGCTGAGTCTGTGTATTCCTGTTTGCAATATGGGTTGTGAAGATAAATTTTGCCACCTACGAGTTACATTTTATTTCTTTGCAGAAAGTCCTTGTGTTAATCATTGATTTTGTTTTTCTGAAATTACTTGAAGGTTATACATGGAAACACTAACCTCAACGGTGTGGTCGTAAGGGACTTGAACCCTATGGTCAACGCTCGATATCTTCGTATCAATCCTCAATACTGGCATGGCTGGCCCTGTCTAAGAACCGACTTCATGGGATGTTCTGCGCATGAAGGTAATGGTATGCTACAATGCTACTCAACGTTGTTGAGTATATCCAGACACTTGTGGTTATTGTGTCATGACATATTCTGTAAACAATGAAGATTAACAGAGCAATGTCTTGAAATAGGAAGACCGAAGATAGCGCAAACATGGGTCCGGAAGTCAAATAACCATTCTATTCTAACATGTTTCTTTACGTTCGTTTTTACAGCAAATCCAACTGCCCCTACACCCTTGAAGTCATACATCTTTGACTTTTGTCTGACTCCATCAAGCAAGAGTTGTTCCCCACGTGACAACGACCCCATCATATTTGTAACCGGTAGCAGGTGCTCAGAGAGACATTTTCAATTCATTTTCAAAGACGGATTGTTACGCCACGCCTGCAGTGGGAAATTGGTCTGTCCCGAAAATGGTGGGACACATAATGGTGCAAAGATTGTTGTCAGCAGGACTTGTAAAGTTGCAGACTCGAAATTAGTGCGAACTGTAGGTAAGTCCAAAGAAATGCATATACAGGAATTTCAATTAATTGCATTTTTTTTTCTGATGGCTAGTTGTTTTGTTTGTTTGTGTACTTGATAGGGCGATCTTTAAAGCACGTCAAATCTGGCAGATGTATTCATACTTCTGGAGCCTGGCCAGGAAACGGAAGACAGATGGTACTATGGTCTGGATGCAAAGAGCAAAGGCTACAACTGTGGTTCGGGAAACAAGGTACACTTTTTTGCAGTACATCACACCTTTTAAGTAATAATAATAATAATATACAGTATTTATAGAGCGCTAATTCCCAATGGTCCAAAAGCGCTTTACATAATAAAAATAACAAAATCCTAAACCTACAAAACTACATTGTCATTCTATAAAAATTCCCAATGGTCCAAAAGCGCTTTACATAATAAAAATAAGAACAAAATCCTAAACCTACAAAACTACAAAACTACATTGTCATCCTATAAAAACATCATCATTCTATACATCATCATTCTATACAACATCATAACCAATTTTAAAAAGCCACGTCTTGAGCTTAGATTTAAAAGAAGAAAGGGAATTACAAGATCTAAGTTCGAATGGAAGTGCATTCCAAACAGAAGGTGCGGCAATAGTAAAAGACCGGCTACCATAAGTTTTAAGATTAAATTTAGATGTAGAAAGTAAAAATTGATTGGAGGATCTAAGAAGTCTACCAGGTGTATAAGGCTTGATGAGATCAGTAATATAGCTAGGTGCAGCACCATGAAGCGCCTTAAATGTAATTACTGCAATTTTGAAAGTTATTCTTTGTTCAATTGGTAGCCAATGAAGTTGAATAAGCAACGGCGTAATATGCTCATATCCACTAGTAAGGTGAATAAGCCTAGCAGCACTATTTAGGACACTCTGTAAACGTTTCAAGATACATTTAGGCTGACCGTAGAGCAGTGAGTTACAATAGTCAATCCTTGCAGTAACAAAGGCATGAATTAGAGTTTTACATGTATCGTAAGAAAGAAACTTGCGAATCTTAAAAATATTGCGTAAATGAAAAAACGAAGACTTGCAAACAGCAGTAAAGTGCGGCAACATCGATAGAGAGTTATTAAAAATAACTCCAATATTTCTAGCAGTAGTTGAACAGTCAACAGTGTCAGAGGCAATCACCAGGTTTGTTAACGCAGGACGTGGGCGATAGGAGGATGAAAAAAAAAAGAAAAAAAGTATAAGTATAAGTTGCAGGAAAAGCGGTGGCCACGTGGTTAACGCGACGGTCTATAGAGAAAAGGTCCTCTTTCAAACCCTGGTTGAGCCATCTTTAGCTATGTGGGAGAGACACTGGCCCCTTTTGGCGCCTTATATCCTATCCATAGCATCCAATTTTTTCAAGAACCTAAATTCGAGTTAAGAAAATTGGTATATACTTTTCTTTCAGCACAGTACATAGTAATAAATCATATACTTATAGATTGTGTGGAGCCACTTGGAATGCAGAACGGTGAAATAAAAGACCGCCAGATTACAGCTTCCTCAGTGAGAGGTCAGGAACTCGCTTATTATGCAAGGCTCAGAGGAAAAAAATACTGGTGTGCCAAAGCCAAAAGCAAAACCGAATATCTACAAGTTGACCTGGGAAACGTACGTTTTGATAGTAGATAAGAATAGTCAGATAGTTTGAGAACAATGCAAAAACAGAATATAAGGAAAGATATTGAGAAGTTTACTCAGCACAAGCGCCTAAGTAAATTAAATTATTACCCTTTACAATATCGTAAGGAAACTCGTGATTTAGTTCTTGCGTAAACGTTTTGAGGATATGTATACAATTTAGTTTATTTTGGACTTTGTATCGTTTCGATCTTGCAACAAGCCTTTGAGAAATGTTGATTATTGAATACTTGTTGTCCTTTAATCGAAAAGAAACTTCTAAGAATACATTTTTCATTCGAGTTTGTCGCTCAAGGAATAAACTACCTCTTAACATTAACTAGAGAGTCTGACACTGTCAGTTTTTGGCAAGAAGTTGGTTGATTATTTTTACGATAAGTTCAGCGCTAACTTTTTATCGCAATTATCTTTTTTTTGTTATGAATTTAAAGTATTTTTTGAAAGTAGTTTTTCATTCGAATTTTTTTATCGAGGTAAATAATTAACTATAAGAATCTTTGATATTCTAAAGCGGCTTATATTATGGAATCCTGCATTCTGTTTTAAGCTGTCCTCGAATTCACTAGACTGACTTGTGCATTACAATGTAATTTGGAATTTGTACTAAAGATTAAAGAATCCATAGTCTTTTCTATATTGCTTTTTCGTCCTTTTATAATTTTAGGTTAAAACTGTCAGTAAAATCTTGATGCAAGGACGTGGAAACTGGTACGACTGGGTGACCGGCTTCTTCTTACACTACAGTTCTGATGGCCAGCGGTGGAAAACGTACTCTGCGAGTGGTGACGAAAAACAGTCCGATGTAAGCTAAGGATATTGTAAACATTCACAGTCAGTTGTTTACCTACTTCTAAAAACCGTTCTCGTTTTCTTTCCTATCTCAGTCCTTCTGTTATCTTGGAAAGTGCAGCGAAACTCTTGACACTCAGTGTAAGGACTTATGGGGAGCTAGTAAGTAAATGTGCCCATTTCTTTTTTTCCTTTTATGTCACCTAGCGTTTTGATACAAACACTAACTACCTTTACTTCAATTTATCAAATATTATTTAAGTATTTGTATGTTATCTACAATCTGTATGCCAATTCAATGTTTTTTTTCCTAAACAGAGGTGTCTTTCTTCAAGGTACATTGATTATTTCGAACATAATGTTTTTTTAGACGACATTACGAGTACACCCGACAGGAGCTGGACCTAAAACCCTCAAATGAGAAAATTTGTATGCTAAAAGCCTCTCGGCTCAATTAAAGTTAATTGACGTCTTTCTGCGCTCCGACGAAGGGCTAACGCTCGAAACGTCAGCTTTTGAACTCTATACCTGTGGCCAATTTACAGTATCAGCCCTATTGATAAAACAAAATTACCTTGTTTTACCCCCTAACGACGCAGCGTCACAGTTTCTTCAAAAACCCCCTTTACTCATTTGACACTAACTCGACCTTTTGCAGCCGCCAAAAACGCTGACCATGGATGCTATGACAAGCTGAACACTGAGGCTACAGGATATGGTACATGTGATCCAAACGCCAAAAAGAAATGTGCTTCAAGGTACATTATTTTCTTTTTAGTGAGCCGAGTACCATTCGTAAGAAAATTAATCAGCTTATCAAGTGTACTTTACAAACTATAAAAAGAACGCTCGATAAACAGCCTAATGAAGATGAGAAAACTCTTAGTTTTACATGCTAAAGCATCTCAAGGTTTTATTAAAAAAAGCGATTTCGTTTCGTGAGCAGAAAAAAAAACACTTGTGGTACATTTAGTGAACAAGTGAAACAATTTAAGTCATAAGAAAATGTCTGATTTAACCATCAACAAGATTCTTCAAACTCGACCTATGTCAAATTTGATTTAAAGTCCTTTCAACTAGTAAATCGAATTTCTTACGTTCTGTGTAAGGAGGCGTATTACGTTCTAAGCTTGGCAGCAACTAATTGATATATTTTCTCTAAGCGATGTTTTATGCGGCCAGCTGCAATGTGAAGCGGACGAAAGCAGGAAAAAACCAGTTGTTGACTATGGACGGGCTAGAGACAAAAAGATAATTTTGTCCTCCGGGAAAAAATGCAAGTTAGTATTACTTTCTTTTTGTTCCTCTGAGAAAAAGGGGTCAACATATAAAATGCCTATCGTAAGCTAGATAATAAGGACGAGTTTCAAAACGCGAGACTCGTGGTTTTTTACCTTGTCTTTGCAATTTGATCATTAGGAATTTCTTTTTTTGATTAAATCCACATTTAAACTTTCATTAGATGCCTTTTGTTCAATTCCCTTACCTATCTTTGGAAACGAAACCATTAAAACTAAAATTGGAAAAAAAACTGTTTTAATCACTTTTAAATCATATTTTCAATAAATGCAAAAACATGTAGTCAAACGCGGTTTTGCTTCTTACAGCGCTGTAGAACTGAAAAGTGGTGACAGTATTGGACTGGGAATGGTAAGAGAAGGAACGAAATGTGGACCTAATAAGGTACGATGCCATTTCCCTTGCTTAAGACCCTTTCTGGATTCATCCGGTCATGCAGGCTATTAATTAATATCCAAACACAATCTCAAACACTTAGAACGTTCCTGTTTCATAAATACAAAGGCGTTTTGGAAAAAAGCCCCTACCTCTATCATACTCCGTGTTTGCCCCGCTACATCTCACATTAGGAAACATTTTTCTATACAATCAATTCATCGTAAGAATAGTATGGAAGAACATCAACCATTAGGTTACAAGAGTTCTGGTTAGAAGAGGTCCATGTTAAAAAAATTGCTTTGAACATGAAGAATATAATTTGAGAAAAATAAGTACTGGGTTAATACTTCGTGAAGAGTGCTTTCGGTGTCCTTTTAAGAACAAATGCGAGTCTGTTCCCTCATGTCCATCCAACCTCCGCATGATTCCACCTTTCTACAATACGCCCTGTGTCGATATAAATACATTGAGAACCCTCTTTCCGAGTTAACATGTTTACCTTGGTACCAAAGTTTACTCCTGTTTATGTCTGTTTAAGATGTGTATCAATAACAAGTGCCAGTCACTCAATTCTCTCAATCTGGTTGGCAAGTGTCCAGTGGTCGGCAACAAAGAATGTGCAGGAAGAGGGGTAAGTAATTCTTAATGTTGAGTTCGTGAGAAGCATAAAAAGGAACTAATATTTCCAGGTTTTTGCCGGGAAATTTCACGCAGTTAAAGTTTTACACCATCGTGCAAGCGAAATCCGTTTTTTCCCAGTTAACTGTCTCTAATTTGCAAGGAATGAACAGCTGTCAGAAGAAAACAATAATCATGCGGATTCTCAATGAACTGGTATTGTTATTGACTCGGTATTATTCGCAGAAATTTTTCTGTCTCTGACTTGATAACTTTTTTAATAAGAGCTTGCGTGTGACTTGAATCAAGAAAACTCACTGAAGTCATAAAGAATATTCTCACTCAAATTTTGATCATGACATAATGTTTCCAGGTCTGCACTAATAAAAAGATTTGCCACTGCCAAGGAGGATTTGATCCCAAAAACGGTTGCAAGTCAGGTGAGAACCGAAGGTTTTTTCTCTGATATTCAGATTTTCTTTTCTCAATGAGAGATATCTGCTGATATCTCTTGCGCTTCGAACTTCCTTGTGCAGAACTGACTCCACGTGACGGAGCCTGGGGTGAGTGGTCCCCCGGTTTTATTTATATGACCCAGATCTCAGATAGGGTGTAAAGCAGATGGAAGAAAAGCAATTTGACATTTTAAATCATATCAATATTCAAATGAGCAAGTGAAACTACAGAGAAAGACGCGACGCTTCCAAACATGATTTTCATCAAGCGTCGCCATCCCCAAAATCCGACCGAGCGGATTGTTATCTCTAAAAGGCCAGTTTTCACCTATTATAGAGTCGGGATTCTTATATATTGGAATCTTTGAATTCAATTTGTTACCATTTGCGTGCAGCCACTAAAATTTGGTAGACTGTCCATGTGCGAAAAACTCATCAAACCGATAGAGCCAAGATTCTCCAAAAAAAAAGTTATGATTTAGTGCTGTATTTGGCAAAACAAACAAACCCAGTCTGATTATTCAGAAGACTACACTTAAACTGAATTCTCTATAAAATCAAAGCTGTAAGGTAATGGCAACAACAAATTGCAAGTATTGGGCATCGAATGGTCATTGCAAAAAGTCTGCTCCCTACATGTCTAAGAACTGCCATAAGAGTTGCAACCTTTGTCAAGGTATTATGACCACTCAATAAAAACTTTAAAATAGAGGAACCAAAAGTTGAAACATTCTGATAATGTCTGATTGCTGTAATATTTGATTGTGATATGACATATGGTACAGTAGCTATAATTTTATGGGCCCAACCCACAACCCCGAGTTGATTACCTCCGGAAACGCTCCGTCTGTCAAACCTGTCTCTTATTAATAACACAAAACTTTGAAAGTGTTACAATAACTGAAGCAGAGTTGTATTTATTTGGCCGATGAAAAGCGAGAGAAGGAAATTCACGTTATTTTCTATAGAATATCTCTACAGGCTGCCTCTTGTTCGAAAAATATGAGAAGGCTAAATAAATAACTAAATTACTTTTTTTTCCATCATTAAATGGTCTTTCTTCTTGTTAAAACAGAGGAAGGAGGAAAACAAGGGGGAGGCGAAGAAGAAGGTAAATCAGGTTTGGTTTTAATTACAATTTCTTTCTTTTGGCTAAATTTTGACTTTTATCGTATACCTCACAAATAACCAATTTCTTTTAGTTATCAGTTTCCTGTTTGATCGATATTTTCTGTGTAATTTTGTTTTGTAGACTATAAACCAACCTATGGTAGAAAGCTAAATAAATAAGTTAATTTTTTGACTGTTAATTGTCTTTCTTCCTGTTAAAACAGAGGAAGGAGGAAAAGGAGAGGGAGGCGAAGAAGAAGGAAGTTCAGGTTTTGTTTTGTTTATAATTTCTTTTTTATTGTTTAATTGACTTCTATCGTATGCCTCACAAAAAGTTAAGTTAATAATAATCCAGCCTCTGGATTAGGTCTGCTTAAGTCTGCTCACTACATGTCTAAGAACTGCCGCAAGAATTGTAACCTTTGTCAAGGTATTATAACCACTCAATGAAAACTCTACAATAGAATAAACAAAAGTTTAACAATTTTGATTATGTTTGATTGCAGTAAAACTTTATTGTGATATGAGATATGGTACAATAACTATGACTTGACGAGTGTAACTAACATCAAACTAACATTACTAGAATACTAAAGCAGACAGTATGGAGAACTACAAATGAGATCTTGAAAGTGACGGGGTACAAGTGAAACTATTTTCTCCCTTGGAAACAGGTGAAGAGGAATACGAATACTCAGGAGGAGGAGAATTTGAAGATGAGGAAGACGATACAAACGAAAAAGACAATGAGAAAGAAGAAGAATATGAAGAGGAAGAAAAAGGCGAAAAACGAGAGGAAAAAGATCTCGAAGAAGACTTAGAAATGTCCTTTGCTAAAAAGTAAACATTTCTGCTTTATCATTAATTTAACTGATAAGCATCAACGTTTGAACTCTTCTCGTTGGAAATTTTTATTCAAGAAGCTAATCAACTGATGTTTAGAACAAGCTTTAGTCATTTATCCAATATTTTGTTAGAATTTATTGTTGTATCGTGTAATCATGACTTTTTTTTGTGATGTAATCTGCTCTGCTTCAGTAGCCAAGGCTGTAGTGCAAAGCTTTAAACATTTTTGGGGTTATATCTTTACTAGTATTCAGGGCTATATCTTGACTGTAATCTTGCTGTGGAGTTGGAAATTTTTATGCAAAGAGCTAATCAACTGATGTTTTAGAACAAGCTTTAGTCTTATTTATCCAATGGTATGTTAGAATTTATTGTTGTATCGTGTAATCATGACTTTTTTTTAATTACGATGTAATCTGCTCCGCTTCAGTAGCCAAGGCTGTAGTGCAAAGCTTTAAACAATTTTGGGGTTATATCTTTACTAGAATTCAGGGTTACATCTTGACTATAATCTAAGTATAGTCTCGGTAATAAAACCTATATTCGACAATATTTCTACGTAAGTTGTTCCCCCGAGGATTTTCAATAATTGGAAAATATCCCGTCCGAAGCTCGACCTGCAAGCGTTCCTCAGGAAAAGGCCTGATTTTCTCAAAGGAAAAGGTGACTTGATTTGCAGCTGTTGTAGAAGAAACAGAGCGAGGATTACAACATCTGTTCAAACCTGGAACCCATTCATTCTCCTCTGGATTTTCTTGTTCAATATAAATGTCTCTATCTAACTCGGGTGTTCACCTGTTGTTTAGTTAACGTGCAGTATGGAATATCATCTGGGGTAAAACAGTCTTGTCACCATTAACAAAACAGCTCTCGCAGTCGCTGTGATATGGACGGTTTCTCCTCCATTGCGAAAGTGTGGCAAGCGCCAGCTTTGTATCTAGCCCTCGTTCTTATCACAGCGTTTTGTCTTGTTACCGATTTCTTTGCGTATTTTAAAGTTTATAGAGTAGTTATTCGACATCAGGCACAAAGTCACTCCCAGATGCAAGTTATGTCTGCCAATGCAGACCACACCGGGATGCCCTTCAAACATCTCAGAAGATCTGCCATGACCATATTTTATGTGTACTGTCTTTTCCTATTTTGTTCCCTTCCCTACATTGCAACACTTGCCGGTAGTCTTTTCGCGGGAAAAGACTTCGGTAAGTTTTATGCAGTCCCTAGTACACTTGTTTTTCTCAATTTCTCCTATATCCATTAGCCTCCCTGTTGCTTTTTCAGTGAGAACTTTCATGGTAACTAACTCTTTCTTGATGTTGATTCAGACGTGTGAACGATTTGTAAGCCACCTTAAAACTCGCATGAACTGAACAGAAATATTTAACCGCTTCACTGAGAAGTGTGGACAGAGCTCTTATGCCTTTGAACTCTCAGTGATTAACATCTGATTTCTCCTCGCAGTATCACCCCTGAGTCACAATTACGGTCACGAGAATATAGGAAACGATCATCGACTAACTGAGTGCATCAGTTATGGATATCGTACTTGAAGGAATAGAAACTCGTAAATAAACATGTGAGGCAAAATTAGCCTGTGAGCCAAAAGGCTCATCTCCCAGATCCAATTCCTGTATGAATGGCATAAAGCGACAAATAATACCGCTACTTCCCCCTGGAGGGGATGTTCCCCCTCGTAACTGCGGTAACCATAACTTTCCAACATCACGATTAATTGATGAAAGGCGATTTACTGATGTAGGAGGAAGATGAGGGTTGAAAATTGTTACTATTACTCCAAAACTGCACCTGCACTCGATGAGAATACACGAAGAAGAAATAAATAACATTGGTACCGCTCGGAAGCGAACTGCGACTCGCGCGACTACAGAGAAGAGGCCTCCTGAACAGAGAAGACGAAGTTTACATACGCAGGAAAAACTGAATATTAATGCAAGCGAAAACGACTAACTGAAGTGTAAATGACGCCAATAATTACGAATGAAACAATAATGAACGAAAGTAGGCGATATGAAAAACAAAAGAAGCTAACTAACCGGCAGAAAAAACACTGATTGAGATGACGCAAAACAGCAACAACACTCTAGAGACACCTTAGTTAACAATTTACAACATTCCGCACGCTAAGATCTTACACCTTCCCCCCCCCCCCCCCCCCAGTATTTCGTTGGGTGATAGTTTGCTCGTACCCACTTAAACCCCTGGGTGGAGAGAAGCTCTATGAAAGGAAAGTGTCGCAAGCACAATAATACACCACAGTGACCCAGCTAAGACTTTTAAAAGAACTTAATATGATACTAAATACAAACAACGCGTTAGGATCCTACTATAACAAACAGGTCTTAATTTCAATATATTGTAAGTGAATTTGTAAATGTGCGTATGATTTCCTTTGTTCAGGATCACTAGTAGAGACCGCGTCTAGTGGAGACCGGTCTCTACTAGTCTCTTTCTCTCTTTTTTTTTGGTCTGTATGTTAGTTTGCCCTCTCCCCCATTAGATTAGTCTTCGTTATTAATAATATTACTTTAAAGAGATTTCAGTAAAATTCAAACGAAGAAATACACGCCCGTCTGGTTCTTTTCGACGTAAGTGTCGGTGCATGTCTGTGCTCACAAAAGGCACGCCACATTGTTTTATTAAGTAACCGATACCTCGTCTCTGTTAAAGGGTACGTCAAATAGTCATTCGTTTCCCTACCCCTCTCCCGTGATTGAGTAAATTGTGAGTGCATCAGCACTTAAAACAGTGGAAAACCCTAAACAAATGTGTGAGGCAAAGTGAGCTTATGGGCTTAAAGGCTCATCTCGCATGATCTTATCCTGTTATCGTTGACATTAAACAACTAATGGTACCACTACTCCTTCCTGAAAGGAATGCTTCCCCCCTCTTAAGATTTCATCAAGGAAGTCTAATTCTGGGCGAGGAGAACAAATAGAACAACTTTCAATTCAGTAATGACAATAGACCGGGAATGCTTGATTTTCTCCACAGAACTTTGTGATTGGTGCTGAAAGTCTCGTACCTCATTGAATACATCAGATAAAAAATTGCAATTAGCTGCGACTGGTTGTGCGCACTTTCCCGTGTTAACTCATGCCTCACAACTTCCTTAGGTATTGGACTTTCTTCCAAAACTGCAAAAATAAGTCATAGGTTCAAATCCCTTACAGGCTAAGTCTCATGGCTTATTTCCTCTGCTGTTTGAGTAGTGTTCATTACTGTGAAGATCGCTTCCATATTCGGATACTAGTTTAGTTCATTACTCAGAAGGAGTCAGAAGAAAAGATCTGATTACCAGATATTAGAGGTGTCTGTTACTCCATTTTATGGGCAAAATACGTGTAAATGCATGCTCAGTATGTGAAATCTTAACAGGCACTATATACAGAGGTTTTGAAAAGTTTGGGTTTGAGAAGAGGCACAAATATAATCATTCACGTTTGAAGTTGCTTCAGCTTTTGTGAAGCCTAACGCACAGCTCACTAAGATGACCTTCTCCCTCAAACATAACCCAACCACTCTTCAAACAAGGACCACTATTCCTCACAGGGGGATGGGTGTTTCAGGCACTGATGTGCTAATAACTGAAATAAATAAAAAAGACCCCTAATAATGATATAAATCTCATTAACGCTTTAAACCTTGAGAACATCGTAACCAGGTTCCAGACCTCGTCAATTCTTAGCCCCCTTCCCCGATCCCCATGCCCCGAACTGGTCTCTAAATCCCCTTGAAGAACTCTTCTACAGCTAGTACTGAAGAGTTTTTCTACAGTTTTTATTCAGCATAATGAAAGGCCATTGCTGGAAAAGGAAATCAAGATGACTTGCTGTGCATCTGGCCAAAGTAGGAGTGCGCCTGGAGGTGTATGGATTCAAGGAGGAGGCATCGAGATTCCTTGCGTTTATGAAATTGGCGTCAAGAAAGGAATTAAAAGTCTAAGAAAAGAACTGAGAGACAAACTAATACAACTCGTTCCAACCACTGACAATACAATCTAGGAAGACATCCGGAGTCCACCCATGTCGCAGTTAAAACATGAAACTGGACAGACGAATTTTGTCTTATTTGTTTATGGGTGTTGGTAATGATTTACTTTATTACCGTATAGCTGTATTTATCATTGTTACCTTCTTTAAGTGAACACAATCTATACACATGAAATGCAAATAAAATGTTGCTCTTTTTTAATTTTATGTTAATATTTTATTTCGGAAAAAAAGCTCGCCAGCTCTATTTGTAAACGATTTTTGTTCTCCGAAAGTTACTACCCCCAAGGGCTGCTAATCCCGAAAGTAACGAGGGTCGCTACTATCGGAACTCTACGGTAGTGCAACTATGCCGCTGCACAGGAAGTTAAGGTTATACGGTTATCAGAAATGGTGAATAAAGCGGAAGTAACTGATGAAACTCAAAATAGAGCGACAAAGAAGAATACGCGTAAATTGTAAAATTACAATTTGAAGAATTACAAATCATTTGAAATTTGCAAGAAAAGATCTCCATTAACTCAGATGAACTTTGAGAACTGAGAATTGAATCGTCATCATCCTCGAAAAGAAAAGAAGAATTTCAAGCTGGTGATGTACTCGGTCCCAATTGAAAAAAAATTGATATCGTGAGAATCTATTGATACAAAACATCATTCAAAACTAATATTTGGTCAGAGGTGTCAACATATCCTGAATTCTTTGAAGTCAACTTCGTAATATATGAGATTGGATATCTCTTTCCATCCCGTTTCTTCTTTATTAGAATTAGAGACGAAACAGTAATAAGGTAGCAGGATATTACAATATGTATTACACGTATGTGCAATTTCTTTTTCTCTTGTTATTCTCTTCCTTTCGCCAGTAAATTCAAAGAGATTGTCCTAAGTAAAATGCTAACGTTCGCTCATTAGACTTTAGATACCATTTCTTTCTTCCTACTTTTCAATGAAAAAAAAGATGAGAAAAATAATTTCGTATCAAGCAACCTTTTACTAATACGGCACGTAATGAAATTCGTCTTTGATGCGACTTTCTGATTATAACAGTTATATTCCAAAAATGAAGTGTAAATGATAATTTATTGATCAAGAAGGAAAATGAAGGATGGATGGTCAAAAGCTATCAACACTCAACGAAAAATTCATTTCATTATAGCTTTATTATCATTGTTATTATTATATAACTTTCAAAAAATTGCGATAAAACATTTCTCAAAAACATTTTAAGATTGCTAAAAACCGACGACGTTTCGAAGTTGGCTAAACGTCATTATCAAGTCAAAAAAAAATATTTGTGAGTGGCAGTCTATATCTACCAAAATAACAATGAGTGATAAAAAGCCATACTGTAAGGAAATAACAATAGTAATTAAACGAAAAGTCTGGCACGTATGGAGTCCGTCTGGATATTTAAATTAGGTTTAAGATTCTTGATGAACAGCATTTCGAATACTAAACATTCTAATTCTCCCTGGTACTTTCTTAAAACTCTTAATTGGTTTTCTTTCAAAAGGTGGTTGCTACCGTGAGCTTCCACGAAATGTCGACCGATTGCCGAATATCTGTACTCAGCAATGCGTTGATGAAGGTGTCAGGCTGTGTACCCGACATTATCTGCATCGCACAAATCACATGAGAAACGATAAACAACGCATTGCCGATTCGGTCGACATTTCGTGGAAGCTCACGGTCGCAACCACCTCATTCTGTTATTCTCATTCTGATTTTGTGATCATTCCGATTACCGACTGCAGGAAATTAATGAACAATAATGAATAGGCCGCAAAAAAGTTTTTATCTCGGTCAATAGAATTATATTTCAAGCAAAAATTAGCATTAAAAGTTTTAAAATTCCCTCTGCAAACACAGACACCAGCTCCAGTTTGATTGACAATACGATAAGGAGACTTTAACTGTCATTTTTTCAATTATGATGGAAGCAGTCATGTTTGGGGCTGATTATTAAGTGGAAACGTTTTTCCTGTGTGCTGTCGTTAAAAACTCCAACAAAAGCTCTTTAAAATGTCTTATAAGAAAAAGAGGTAAATGTTAGGACAGTTAATCGCTCGGAAGTGAATTGTAGACATCTACATGGAACCAACAAAACTTGAAGACAATTTAAAAACAACACTAATAATCTACTGGATTTATATAGCAACCCTATTATATGATTTTTAAGGCAGATACTCCTAATTCTCTCTTCAGAAAAAATATCGATCTGAAAGAGAACTCTGTAACAGCCGATGATGGTCAGTTTTATTTCACATTTTCATTTTCTTCCTTCATATTTCGGCAAACCCGGGCCACGAGATTTTTTTTTAGCTTAATTCTTGTTTCTTCCTAACCAATAAATTATCCAACGAACATCTCTAGTGATAACCGATACTTTATGAATCAGTTCAAGCGGGTTTTAACTCCAGAGAATGCAAAGTGCTTGTCTGATTGTCAGCTTCACTGCTTGTCTTACTTCACCAATCTTCCAGCAGTAAAGAAACGGGTTTAATGTGGAGTTAAAATGAACTAAGACAACTGCAACTCCCCTAACGATGACTAAGTGCAATGAATATGCTTTGGTGTGGTTAATCACAATTTCCACCACACCATACGGCAAATAACAAGCAACTAATGCTAACTGCACCCATAAAGCACTGCACACTGCCTTTCTGTATCGCGCGATATTAAGTGCATTTGGTTGGCTTGGCTCTTGTTGAACGTGATCTAGTATTTGTGCATGATATTGACGGAGAGTGCAAAAAATTTTCATGTACGAGAGAATTGAGATAACTTGGCATGACGGTATAACTATACGACCATACCATTCAGTGATACGGTATTCTACTGCGTACAATAAAACAGCGACGATGGATAGAGCCCAGAATATAATTAAAATGATACCTGTGTGTCTCAAAGTTACAATTTGTTTGTATCTGAGCCCTATCAACAGGGCGAGAAGTCTGTCCAAGCTTATGGCCGTCATAGTCATCAAAGACACTGAACACAATGCATAGCTTGTGATGTAGGCTGCGCTATTTGCATATCGACAAAGACTCCAGTGTTCATACACTAAGGAGATCCAATAAGTAGCACTGAGAGGCTGTGAAACAAGACCAACCAGCAGATCAGTTGTTGCCAGATTACGATATAAGAGTTTTGACGGAGGATGAAGGAAAGACACTCTGTGAAGGGCAACAAGGATCAAACAATTTCCGAGAAATGACGTGACGGAGAGGAAAATGTTGACTGTTGCGAGACAGATCAGTTGTTGTTGTTGTAATCCACCTATGAAAGCGGGGAAACAAAGTAGTTCTTGGATCGTTTTTGTTTCTGTTCCACGTCCTGTTAAATTTTTTATCGCCATCATTTAGTCATTTCTTTTTTCTTGCGGTAATGTGTGATTACAACAAGGAATTTTTCTTCATAACAGCACCCGCTTAGCCACGATTCATTAGTGACTCTTCAAGTAAGAGTAAATAAAGACTTCCTTAGCAACGTTTACCCAATCAAATGCTTGACAGTGACAAATGCTTGACAGTGACAAATGCTTGACAGTGACAAATGCTTGACAGTGAAACAAGAACAAGATGGCGGACGTGTTCGCAAAGCTCCCTTCACTTTGCTTGATACTGTACTTAATTTTACTGTATATATCTTTCTTGAGGCAAGAATCAAGTCTAAATACATCGGGACTTCACTTAACTCTACAAATTAAGTTAAATGACGCTGTCGTTGCGAGAGAGGGATCTTCGAGGCTGAACAGACCACTCGTAAAGTTTGTCAAGCATGGCGGTCTATGTTTGGCTATTTCTCTGAATAGACTGATCCTCTTACGCTATGGCGACGTGTCTTAAACTTCTTAAGGTAATTCGTGGAATTAGAAGAGTAAGAAAAATCGATCGAATTTTGTTTTACATTTTGTTCCTCACTCATCTACGGGTCTCTATGTGAAATTGTGGTGTATTGAGAGCTATTTATTAGGATAAAACGTTTAGAGATATTAGCAAGACATAAAATGAGTCCTGCAACACGAGGGTACAATTTGGCAGATGACGTGACAGCTTTAGCTCAGCTCTATGCTCTATACTCTCCTAGAGCACGCTCTGTCAATCAATGACAGCGCGTTATATCCGAACTTTATTATAATAACAGGTTAGTAAATCATTATTAACCTCTGTAATGCCATAAAGTGTAATAATTGACAAAAAAATGTAAGTACACCTTTTGCTGTTCATTACGAGGAAATACGCATTCATTTGCGAGAAAGAGGCAAACAATTGCGCGAAGTTACATTCATTTGCGACAACAATCGATCACTTACGCGTAAATCAGATTCAATAACGATTTTTGCATTTTGATCCGCCTTCAAATACATTTTTTGGGCATTCTGAGTGACGAGTCACTCGTCAAACAAAAGAGAAAATATACTTTCCTTATACTTTTCCAACGTGAAAGTCAATAGAGACAATACACAAACATTACAGTGTGTTTACTAACTTCTTTTTCACGCTATTTGCAAGTCAATAACATTCCTAAATCTCGGCATCAGCATAATTAAGACAATCATTAATGCGCTGAATACCTTTGACTTTTTCTCTGAAAATAAAGTGAGTATGGATCTCTCAGGCCAACATTTTCACTTATCGAGAGATCATTCACATTAAACACTGTCGAAATAGGTAGAAAGATATAAGTCTTCGCCGTATTTACGTTTGCAGTATTCGTTATTAAGGGAAAATTTCTGCTGCCTTGTGGTATGAAATTTATGATTCTTAAACTTCTTAATGTAACTCATGGAATTATAATTTCTAAATATCTCGGAAACTTACCAAATATTCGAGAAGATATGCGGATATTTGGGTTGTAGATTACACATGAATAGTTAACCAAATGCATCAACCATTCTTAGTTTCCTAACAGGGTAGCCCCCCTTATTTCCCACTCAAACCAAATTACACCTTTTGCTGTTCTTTACGAGAATCAACGTATTCATTTGCGTAAGAAGGCGAACAATTGCGTGAAATTGTACTCGTTAGCGACAAAAAAAAGATCATTTTCTGGTAAATCAAATTTAATAACGATTTTTGCATTTTAATCAGCATTCAATAACAATTTTGGGCATTCTAAGGCGTCATTCGTCAAACAAAAAAGAAAGATATACTTTCATTTGCGCTAACCTTCGAGTCAATAACACCATCATACGAGACTCTGATGACTAGTTGAGCTACAAAGAATCCTATAGTGGCCCACGCCATCATAAGCCTCATATGTGAAACCTTGGTGTGAGCAAATAGAAATGAGAAAATGGAAAATTTTTAGTTCGGCAGTTGAATAAAGAAAGGTAATACTCGTCTAATCACAAGCGTGGAACAAACAAGAAGTCCGTTAGAGGGGGGAGGAAAGGGATAACTCGTTCCACTTCCAAAACAAATAACTTTTTCTTTTTACATTCTATGACCGCGACCGTGACCGCGACCGCGACCGCGGCGTGGAATGGGCCTGACTGTGCTCGCAGTCGAGAATTCAGGAAACACCATACACTTTAACTCGTGTTTATTTCAGTGTAATAAAAGAGATTCGCTCTAACAGGAACACAATTCTCCTTAACTGCTGACAGAATTTCTTGTTTGGCCCCTAACTCTTTCCGCAGCAGTTTGTGGTGGTGCCGTGTCTGTTGTGACAGTCCTTTCATCCTTGGTTTTCATATGTCACAATACATGGTCCCACTCCATTTGGCACTCGCGAAATCACGGCCATCGTCCCTGCAAAAGTATTTCGCTCGTTGCTGAAGATATCACCTGAGATGAGATGTTAGGTCGAAATGTATTACATTACTGGTGCGCAAGTTGAGGCCGTTGACGTTAGAGGCATCAGTTTGTCTGAGAATGTGGTTGATCAGATATTTTACAAATCGTTTCAAGGCATGTTCATTGGTAAGAAACTGGTCATTACCTTATCACGTGGTCGGAGGATTTTAGTTGTGTCCCAATAAAATTACTCAACCCCTTCCCTGTGCCCAAGGCACTGTAATATTCTAATAATTTCCCTCCAATGGCAGTCAATTTCTATTGTTTCCCAGTGTATACTCTGTTAGCGACGACTGATCCCACTCCGTTCCCCCCGAAAACCATGTGAACCCCCCTATCCCCTTAAAATAAGAATCTCCCTCCCAGGTGATAAATTATGACTGGTCCGAAAAGTAATTACATTATGTCACATTTTTTTTTTGGAAAGTAGATCTTACCTGGTACGACATTTTTTTTTGATTTTCACATACAGTCCGCAACATTCTTCACTCAGCGAGCAATATTGTGTCTAAGAGACCTGAGTAGATAGTTACAAGAAATATCCGACGTGAATTAAAAATTCCTCAAAAAATATTGTGAAAAAAAATCTTGTATGCCGTGAGAGTGAAGCCTGAAAGCGGTGAAAGTTCAGTGCTACTTCGTAAAGATTGCATTTAGAGTACAGCATGCAAAAAGAATTATAACGGTGATCACAAGGGTTCCTTACCTATTTATTTACAACATTTCAAAACAACCGTCAAGTGCGAATGATTTGCAAAAGAGAAATATGGAATATGCTAATGATTTGCAAAATAGAAATCTGTAATTTGCGAAATGGAAATATGCTAACGATTTGAAAAATAGAAATCTGTAATTTGCGGAATGGAAATATGCTAATGATTTGCAACATAGAAACTGTAATTTGCGAAATTGAAATATCCAAATGATTTGCAAAATAGAAATCTGTAATTCTGTGATTTGCGAAACGAGAATCCCCGCGGAAAACTCCACGTCGATCCACGAGCCAGAAGAATGAATCGGTCAACTCACCATAAGTGTGGATCGCAGCCTGTTAAATAATAGTAAAAACAGCAAGCGAAAGTGAGAAGTAAAAAATCTGCGAGGTGAACTTTGTGAAATCTCCACTACGTTCTTGGATAACTCAATGCGTCGTTTAGGCCACAGAGCGCAAAAGTAATTCGAAATGTTAGTTGACGCTGTAACCGTACTTTCCATGGGCCTGTTTACATGGAGGTGGGGGACCCCAGGTAGGTGAGGTAACTCGCCTAGCCGTGGTCGAAAAATAAAAACCCGGCTGACAGAGTTGCCATGCCTGGCAGACCGGGCAACCCGCCTAAGAGGGTCACCCACCTATCATGTCAACGTGATAGGTAAATAAAATAAGAAATTATATGGAAAGGCGGGGTTACCTCACCTACCTGGGGTCCCCCAACTCCATGTAAACAGGCCCTATAAGGTGTAATCAATTTACGTTTTCAATGAATAATTAGAATGCGTGACACGACACTTACCTCACCAGAAATGCACATGGAGAGAAGTCGCAGCATGTTACTATATGAAATATCATGTTTACTGGGAAAATATAACTGACCCAAGATCTTTTATTTATTTTATTTTATTATTTATTTTATTTTATTTTATTTTATTATTATTATTATTTTATTTTATTTTATTTTATTGATCATTTATTTTCTTGAGTCTCAAGCATGTTTACGATTTGAACTGCACGCTAAAACTTCTACCGGGAATGATAGTCGAGTCTTATTTTTTTTCACCTATAAACCTGTGACAAAGGTTGGTGTGATCTTCTAACCTGGGGAATTTGAAACCCAAACAAAATATTCGGGTCAATTTGTCCTCCCTCGCTAATGGACTATCGAAAAAGATTGACGAAATCAGTGGGTGAAAAAACCTGTGTAAACATCATTCAAGAATTCAATCATTTTATACATTTTAAAACAGCAACCAGTATACCGTGTATTCGATCAAGTATCCACCCCTGTAGGTAGGAAATAAGTTAATAAGCGCCCAGCCTCACGCTTCCAATTTCCTGACACGCGCATCTTTTCTGGCGGTAAAATATTGAGCGCAGTGTTAACCACTCAAAGCAGGATTGCGTTCAAGTTGCCATCGTTTAGATGACTTGAGCGTACGAAGAGAAGTCCATCGTTCGATGATTTCCCTCGTTTTTTTGTGGAGTGATCTAATTGACAAGGAGGAGGTCGGTAGAGGAAGTTTTGGATGTGTGTTCACTGCAAAACAAAGTGATGGAGAGTCCGCCGTGGTGAAGAAACTTCGGATCAGTTTTTGTTTCTGGGCAACCTACCTCGGGAAAAAATCCGTCCTCGGGTGATGTATGCACTGTCGGTTTGGTGTTGTTATATAACGGTGCTCGGTTTGTAGATAACGTATACGGCAATAATCGACCTAAGAATACCGTTCATGATCCTGCTCGGTTTAAGAATCTTTTTAAAACCCACCTCGGTATATAGCGGAGTCCTATTGGGTGGCTTCTGACTGCCCCCTCCCCTAAAAAAACCCCATCCACGTCGCGGCTTTCAGTGTTTTTCTAATAGTTTCCATTTTCTTTAATGGTATTCACCCTAATTTTTCTTTACTTTTATACTTCGTCTGCAAAAAGAGGGGGTGCCGCTGATATGTTGGTCTTGCCTTATTATTCTGATGTAAATAACGGGAATCTAGATTATGTTTTAAAATAACTTTATTCATTTGTCTAGACCTATTTCAAGTTATATTGTAATATTTATAGGTCCATGAAACAAATTGAACCGTTAAACTTATTGCACCTACATACCAGAGCAAAAAAAAAAGTAATAAAAACATTGCAACTAACATACTTAAAAAATTTAAAGTTGTTCCTCTTAGGGTTGAAAAAATTTTAAGGTAAGTCAATAAATCATGTTCTTGGTACCTCTAAGGGGTTATGTTCAATTTTCCATCTTTTTTTTTTTTTCTGCTATGCAGTTGGTTTAAGGTTAAAGTACCGGATTATCGGTTGGAGATTGTAGCGGGAAAATGGCAAGGAAATTGGGCGTAATCACTCGATAGCTGCCCCCTCTCCATTGCCGCCACATTCTCTCGTCCACGTAGGATTGAAGATCTTCTCTGCGCAGCCCCTTTCTCCTTTTCTGCCCCAGTTTCAATTAACTCCAAGCGGACTCGGCAACTGAAGTAGTTCTGCGTCGGAAACTTCGCCAGGATAGCAAAATTCGCCGACAGAATGTTTACTTTCATCAAAGAAATAGAACGTTTTAAGAATCTAAATTTTTTCATGTCCGAAATTTCAAATCGCATCGATTTTGCGGGGCGTGCGCGTTTCCAGTTTTACGACGCGTTTTCCCGGCCCTATCACTTCGACACGGGCAGCCCTAAAAGGAATTTTTTTTACGTTTTCTTATGAAATAACGCGCGGGGCCGTGCGGGTCATATGATAATACCCAGTTGGGCCCTCCTGTTCGGTTAGTACAAGGTTATTATGGGACTCGAGCCTTTCGAAAAGAAAAAATTCCACTGCTTATGCCCGTTTCCATGGAAACGGTCCGTATGGCAACACCCAATCATTTACTTCAATATAATAACCATATCGTGTTAACCGAGCAAGATTCGCCCTGGGAGAATCGTTGGGAATTGTTTTTGTAACAAAATTTACCTTTTGAGCGGAATCGTTCATTTGGTTTGGTGGAGGGGGTAGGTAGCGGAGAGTCGCTTGCACTCTGCTTACATTTCTCCTGTCTTCTTTATCTAAAATTTCTGGATCCGCCGCCAATTGGTCCGTCTGCGATACAGTCTAGCCCCGAGTGGATAGACTTAAGATGTACAATGTTTCGCAGATCAATCATTTCCTCAGCATTCAGTGTCATAGCCCCATGAAAATAAGAATTTATTGTATCCAATGGAAACAGTCTTCAAAATAATATGCTTTTGTTTCAAAGTAGTTTTTAATTTCCTGTTGCTGTGGCATATTGTATGACACTAACAGTTGAGAAACTCAATTGATCGATAGCATTTCTTTTGTCATATTCATGTCAATATTTTTACTTTTCTCCTTAAAAGCGTTGATGTAAACAGAATTATACATCACAAATATAGAGAAAATGGTACACTACTTGAATACATCCAGTAGCAGTAATTATTTGTCTAAGAGGAGACAAAAAATTCTGACCAGTATGTTTCCACAATTATTTGGTAAACTGTTTGCCACCCCCCAACAAAAGTACGTCATGACATGGTATGACACTGAGTTTTTTTTATTTCAAGTTCTCAATAGCTGTCCCTACTTTCTTAATAAACTTCATAACACTTTAAATAAATTTAGAAATATAAATAAATTTAGAAATATATATATATAAAATTCAATGTGTATCCCTATATTCGTGCTTTGTAATAGGATTAAAAGTGAGTTTTTTAATTTCAAACCTTGTACAAACATCTAAATAGAAAAAAACCTATCTAGCAAAAAAGGAAGTTAAAAATTACACTATTCCCACTTGTTTGAAACATGCGATCACTGATCACAAAGTCCAACATATGAACTGACATTTTAGATTATTCAACTTTAACAATGGCAAGAAAGCATTTAGCAAGATATTTACTGTGGATGAGGAGTCAACATAACAAAGCTAATTATAGCGGAGCTCGCAGAGCGTAGCCCCATAATTACAAAAAATAGTAGTAACCCATCAAGCCGAAAAAATTTGGATGTACGACCGTACGACCGTACGACCGTACGACCGTACGACCTTACAAGATGCTACTTTTAACATGCGTGGTCAACTGTGACGCGGGCACGCTAACGCTACGGTTTTGTTCAGTAGTCCAGTGGTCAGTGCACTGGGCTCCGAGTTGGACGACCCGGGACAAGGCGTTGAGCCCTTGAGACGTGCGGGGAAAAAAATGCGAGCTCCACTTTTAAGCTTGGCTAATTTAATATATTATACCTGTTTGAGAAAATCTGTTGTAGTTTTTCTCTTTTGAATGGCTTTCTGTAAGTACATAAAACGTGGAGTTCAACGCCTGAAATGAAACTAACAGATCATCCATCTCTGCTTTGTTTCCCTCTAAATATCCAAAACAATAATCTCCTTCAAGAGAAAAGCCATTGAGCTGTTCTTTCAAAAAGTCGATCTCTAAATCTCTTAGCGTTGTTGGGTTTTGGTCTTCATCCATGGTAAAATCTTCCGGAAAAGGCAAACTAAAGTGCGAAAACTAAGCTCGCGCCAAATTTGATTGGCATTTTTTACAACCGGAAATCTTGATACTTCTTTTTTTCGTCACGCACGTCACGCAGCAAATTACAAAACGTAAATTTAATTCTCCTTGGCGCCTCTCGGATGCCATTGATGCCTTCATTGTTCATTAAAGCAGTAAAAGATTTATGTACTATCAAACCTTTGGAAAATTACTTAACATTTTATTTAGTGGAGCAAACTGTTTACATTTCGGCTTTACAACACGATTGTTTCCTGCAACCACAAATTATGTCTCGATATGAATTATAAAAGTTGTTTCACCGCTGACCACTCGTATTTAGATCTTTTTTCCTTTCCACGCTCGTCGCTAGTGATGTAGTAACTCCCAACTTCCGTGATACGATCCTTCGGAATCCCCCGAGACACTCTTACCATCATATAACATGAACCATCAACATTAGATACTCAAGGTGTGCTAATTGGAGTCAAATGTGAACGTTCTTTACGAATTTACTTTGAATGTGATATTTAGGGGAGCGAAACTTATTCCTTGCTGTAAGAAATTAGAGCACTATTAACAATGGCGTGTTAGAGCGCATCTACTGCTGCCAGTGGCGACGAGGAGAAGAAAGAACAGAAGCTTATAGATGCCATGTTTCTCTGTGACGAATGGAAATCTTCGAAAGGTAGATTATCAACTTTCAATCGAGAATTTGCTATTAATTTGGCAGAAACGACGGCTGGTAGCATGAAAATCCACTGCTATGTCTCTAATAGCGATGATCGGGACAGAGAAGACGCTGAACAATTTGGTGTCAACTTAATCAAAGCTCGAAGTGTTCCTGGTTCAGCCGACCCTCTCGAGTGCTTGAAGTTTCCACCCTCACAGCTCCCAAACCCACATCTGGTAATAGGCCATGGAAGAAAGCTAGGTAGTCCTGCGTATTCCCTTGCACAGATTACAAAGTGTAAATGGATCCAATTTGTTCACGTATACTGTGAGGACCTTGGGAAATATAAAGATCTGACACGGCTGCAGAAGATACAATCGAAGAGAACGAGAAGAAGCACAAGATGGAAATTGATTTGTGTAAAGCAGCGGATGCAGTTGTCGCCGTTGGCTCCCGTCTACAAAAGAAGTACAGCAGACGTCTGCTTAATGTTGAAGTGAAGGTTATCAATCCTGGGATCTTTGGAGAGTTTTCCAATGAATCAAAGTTGGCCGTAGACAGATCAATAGTAAAGAAATTTAATGTGTCTGTATTTGGCCGAGCTGCCTTTGAGGATCTTTCGCTGAAAGGCTATGATATAATTACAAATGCCATTGGTTCTCTTGGTAAGAACTTTGAATTGACATTTGTTGGCTCATCTCCCGGTGAACAACGAAAAGTTGAGCAATGGTTTCTTGACAACACGTGCATCAACCGGAACCAACTAACCATCCGTCGATACTGCAGTGAACGAGAGGAACTCAAGGTGATGTTCTATCAGTCAGATTTGGTTGCTCTGCCATCCCGCACTGAAGGATTTGGGCTTGTCGCCCTCGAAGCCATTTCTGCTGGTGTCCCTGTTCTAGTCTCTGGTGAATCTGGTATAGCTGAGGCTTTGCAAAAAGTAGAAGGTGGAAACACTGTCATTGTTGGATCAGATGAAGATGAAAGTGAATGGGCACGAAGGATTAGAGAGATGTATGAAGAAAGCGCAGAAGAGAGGGAAGTCAATGCTGTGAAGCTTCGCGAGAACTACAGGAATGTGTACTCTTGGAAAGCAGAATGTGAGAGGTTTAAAGGGCTGATTGAGAAAGTAGTGGAAAATGGTATGTTCAATGATTTTATCTTTGCTTAAATTTTAGGTGCAGGTGATATTTCTTTAACCTACTGTATTTGGAAATATAGAAACCTTGTGTAAAAGACTAAATGCAGGTTCATGTAGATAGCACAGCCAGATTGCATGATTTATCTCTGCTTATGTTTTGATATGAATAAACCAGCTGTAATAGTTCCCTTTCACTCACTATTCACTTTTTTCCACTTTCTTGCGTCCTTGCAGATATGAAATTTGTCATGTTACAAAATTTTGGTGTATTGGGTACTATTCAATTGCAAGATTGCTGTGTGATTTCAGGTTTTGGGGGAAGGAACACTGGTGTAGCAGCTCTCTTATAATGAGGACCTGCAAGCAGACTATCATCCAATATGTTTGAAGTTTAAGGTGATATTAACGGTTTCAAGTGGATTTGAAGGAAAATTTTAATTTAAACACTTTGCTCCAAATCAACAGATCAAAAATTAAAAATCAAGGTTGATGTGGAACACATGAAACTTGGAGATCATAATGCTTACAGTACAGCTTCAGTTTCAGCACTGGAGCCAGCAGGATATCAGAAGGCATCCACAGCTTCGGGCACAAAGAGAAAAAGACAATCTGATACAGATTTAGAAGATCTCCAACCACTCGAAAAGAGAGTCCTGTGCTTGGTTGCTATTAATTACCTTAATACTACACCACCACAAAGTATGGATGAACGCAATGAGTTTCTGGAATTCTTAGAAAAAACTAGGACATGTATTACAGGTGTTTTTGTTGGAAGTTTGGTGATAACAGTAAAGTGCGATTCTCTCAAGAGCTTGGAGGAATTATGGAAAGAGTATTCATGTGGCCGTTTGGTTAAGATGGTTCAAGATTGTTTTGTGACTGAAAAGATCTTGAAGGATCTTAACCTGGCAGAACTGAAGCTGAAAACAACAATGGACATCGAAGAGTACAATGCATACAAACTGTACTTTCTTGAGAAGGATGTACTCAGAGGTCAGTTGAAAGAAAGAAAAAGGCCTGGTCCTTTGAAAAAATGTTTTGAAATGATTAAAAACACAACACATCACTTATTCAACATGGTGCACCATAGGATTAACAGAGGTGTTGAGGGGCGTCCAGGTTTGATCAAGATAGAAACAATTATTTCGTGACTAAACTCATGCTGACTATGTATACAATGACAATCTGCAGCTTGAAGTGATTTGTTTTCAAGAAATTTCTTAGTATATTTTCCTTTTCTGTCTGATTGTATTTATCTTTGGCTCCAAATATAAATAAAATAAAACAAGCTAAAATAAAAATTGGCAAGATTTTAGTTGAAGGAGCTATAAAAGAAAATGTTACCTGTATTTTTGTATGGGGTTTTTTGAATATGTGAGGTGTGTTGTATGGTTTTTAATGTCAGTATTTAGTGATTGCCTCATTATTTGTCTTCTTGTAAATCTGATTTTAGGTGCTTTATCTTCTGAATTCCACTCCATAAGTTCAACCAGTGAAAGTCCACAAAATCAAGAAGAGCTGAAAAAATGGAAACAGAAGACAAAGATTGTTGAGACAGAGAAACTGAAAGGTAAAAACAAAATTAAAAGATGTATTAAGTTATTATGGAAAATTATTGTGAACTGTAATAACCATTTATTATTTGACAGCTCTGAAGAATTATCTCAATGCAGTAATGTGGCATTAGTATTATTTTAAGAGTACAACTTATGGGGAACAACTTACAGCGTATCTGAAGAGAGGCTGTGAATACTTCTCTCTCCCTGTACTTTATGTTCTTAGGTACTTCACCCCTCACTGTAATACCCTCTACTGGTCATGTAAAAGAACTGATAGAGAAAGAACAGGGAAGGAAAGGTGACACTCGAAAGCTTGAAAGACTACAAGAAAGAGGACTTAGAGCGGTTTTCAAGGATAATAATTCTAGTTATGAACAACTATTAGAGAAGGCAGATCTGCCAACACTACTAAATAGTCGCTTACAGGATCTGTGCATCCTTATGTATAAAGTAAAGCATAAACTGTGCCCTGCATATATAAGTAACATCTTTAAAGAACCAAATAGTAATTACAATCTGCGGCAAGCAGATTTCTCAATACCTAGGTATGAGACAGTCACCTATGGCAAGCACTCTATTATATATTTAGGGCCTAGGCTACGGACAAAACTACCCAAGAGTATCAGGGACGTCACAACCCTAACGTCGTTTAAAAGCAAGATACGCCAACTCAATATAAGTGAACTTTTAGATGATGGCTGCGCAGGCTGTAGCCTTTGTTCATTTTGACTTCTGTGTATTTTTACTATAAAT